AGGTATTCATAGCCCTATTTAGGGCTTTTCTTACCTTCTTACGTTTTCTATCTAGTTATTTACCCCACCACGGTTGTTTTACCTCAGCATGCCTTGGTGGAGTGATTTCTGGACATGATTCATAGTAGCTATCTGTCATGGCTTTAGTATCAACTGCTGCCTGTTCTTCTAACAGCGATTGATCTGCTATATTATTTGTCCCCTCAAAACCCGCGAGGAGTGTCTTCCTCCGGCATGTAGACCGAGGCGACGACTAATCTTCACTCCTGTGTATAGTGTATTGCCACGGCATATATGTCTCTAGAACAGAAATCTGTTAATGGTTGTGCATAGATATCTTTAATAGTGTAAATACACGCTCTAGGCTTGTCGTGTTCAGAGCTGTAGAATAGCTTACCTTTTAGGTTGTTTACACGGCTCTTGGATTAAGGCTATGGCCGTCCTTTGAACCTTCAACCGCTTGCGTAATTGAGCCGACGCAGTTTCGCTGTGGTGGAGGTTGGCCTGCACTAGGCTAGTTTTGGACGAAGGGCACGCCGTCATTGACCGCGTCCTCTCCGTCTCCGCCCAAAAATAAGCCTGCCAGCAGATCTCAGGTCTCATCGTTAGCCACCGAGTCGGAGGTGGTCGGCAAAATGCAGTCCTCCTCGTCACTCAGTGAGCTGCCGCTGAGCCCGATCTCCACTGGGGGCTTTGACTCAATTATGCAGGCCGTTTTTTCACTGGACTTGGTCTCCAGTGATTCCGCTGTACCGGTAACCATGTCTCCGGTATCCGTAACTTCCAAGTTATTTTCTGCCTTTTTGCTTGGTGGCGTGTCAAAGAATTTAACTCCTTAAAACATTATCTGAAACCTGAATGATTTGTCCACAAAAAATTTCTTGTTTTTTTTTTCATAGTAATACCTCAGATAACACTTTCTAAATTGTGGAGGTCTATGCTCAGTAGTGGACTTATAAGGGGCTGCTAAGTGAAACTAGCCACAGTAGAGCGAGTGCCTGCTGTACTGATATATATCAGAGGTGTCACTGACAAGATTGGCTACATCTTGAAGAGTGCTTCCATTAAAACATACTTCAAGCCGCCGAAGAAGATTAGTCAGTTTTTATAAATCAGTCAAGTGTAATGACTCGGTGCTACCATCTTCTTGGGATCTTATAATTAATAAAATTAAATCCCAACCCAAGCATACAACTGATATACTTCAAGATACTATACGTTCATACTGCGTAGATCAGAACAAAAATTAATAATTTTTAATTTGGAGGTAGGCGTGGTTATCTATGACATTAGGACATCAAACACCTCAGTTCCCCCCGTGACCATGGGTGCTGTAAAGTACTCGAAACGTCGGGAACATAAAATGAGTTAATATACGCAATAAAATCCGTAAAACTAGTGTTGTTTAAATATGTAGTGTTCGCGTAAATATAAGAAATCATTATGATTATCATGATAATGATATTCTTAATATTTTCAGGAAGAAAAGTCGATGGCACGAAATATATTAAGACCAGGTTCCTATAATCTTCACAACAAATCTTATGGGTATCCCTTTCTCCTTGATCAATTATACTGATGGCAAGAAACTTTGTATTAAACCGCACACGAAGGTTAATGCTATCAACACCTGTGTCCTATTACTCTACTCGATTTATGGATACAAGTTACCTACTAATATATTTATGGGACAGCAAAGAATATTTAACATTTATTTTAATATATTTTAGTTTGGTATCTTAGTATTCATCTGTATCTGTGAAAAGGGCAATAATTATTTTTTGGTAATAAATATCCTTGGGCATATTCTTGGGAATTACTTTTGCTTCTGTCACATGAAAAGCAAAAATCCATCAAACTTTATTATGACTCTTTAATCTTTAATTTAAAATACATTTTATAAAACAATGCGTGTAATTATTTTCCGTTTTAAGTGGCAGTCTACTGGAAAATAGTCTTCTTAGTCATTACATTTTCATCAAATAATAACTAGTCTTGTAAGCCTTTTGCTGCGTATAATTACAATTGAAGTAACCTTTTTGTCTTAAAAAATCCTCATAATATGTCAGTTTTTGAAAACTCTTCTTTATACAATTCGACGTAATTTTTTTTTTAAATGAGCCCTAGAGCTTTGATAATGAATAACAATAATAATATATTTATTCTTTATAATTATTATATAATATAATATAATGACACTAAGGCTTAGGGAAGTGACGAACCCATCGCCCGCTGACGTAACAGTTAAGTGACAAAACTGCTACGTCGGCGCATTCAGCCAGCGCCTTGCCAAGTGGTGTTAGCGCCATGCTTTGGCAAAATTGGTGCAAAGGCCCGTTTGTCTCCATCATAAAACGGCGCCAGGTTTGTGCGTCTCCCGTTAATTGACGCCCAAAAATGGATGATGGAAATTTGGAATACGGGCAAAGGGCGTTGCCGGGGCGCATCTAGAGCTGGCGCTGGACGCGACAGCATGTGAGCTGCCAGCCGGGCGCAAAGAGGGGCACGAACATCTCGTAGTCCCTCGATTAATTTTCAAGATTTTCTACGTGGTAGAGCCATGCTGCAGCTATATTATGGTTGTAGCACGAATAGGTCGGCTCGAACGGGGAAGGACCACGCTTTCATAGAAAACCAGCGTAAAATAGCAGCTTAACGCTGCTGTGTTTCGTATGGTGACTGTAGAGAACCGGAGACCCTTTTTATTGGCAAAGAGGCATTCCATCTTTGTCCTCACGGGTGACAACGCATCTGCATCTTGAGTCTTTATTGAGGATAGATGTAGATGTCTATAGGTCACAGTAACCACTTACCATCAGGTGGACTGTGTGCTTGTTTGTCACCCGATCCTATAAAAAAAATCTTCACCAGAGGTCTTAGTGTCGGCAGGGTCCTGTCGGACTAAGCAAATTGCATTCGCCGCTGGTAGAGTACGCTGCATGCGATGGACAATTGATTTGAATAAGAATGCATTGCGGGCGCATTTTAGGGCGAAAGTGGGTAAGTTGGAGATCATGCCTACCGGGCTAGGATGCATCAACTTTTTGCTGAGTTGGAGCCATCTATTAGCGTCACCGAGCAAAACCTAGCAGACCGAGTTCGGTACATCATGCGTTAAAATATATTTGACGACGCTGAACTCGAACGATGACGACGTGAGGCTATTTCCTCGTCGATTGCAGAGCAACCCGCATACGTAGAGACCGCCGTTGATCTCCTTGTGATTAACTCAAATGATTCGATTAAATAGTCGCCCAGGAACAAGAGCAAATGAGAAGCATATTGGAATAGGCGATTGGGGAAACGGGTTGTGCGCCTTTCAAAATTGACTGCGACTTCTCTGCATACCCTTAGGCAAGCAACGGGCTGTCGTGTAGGCTCTAAGCCTAATGCTGATGACCTATTTGGAAGCCAGCCAAAAACTATATGAGATGGAATCAATTATTCTTGGCGCCGCACTGGCAGTATGCCATATTATTGGCGCCAAGCTACCCACGGCTGGAATTGCTACTACACAAGTAGCGTCATCGCAGCCTGGAGAATAAGAATTGAGGAACGTATCCCAAAAGCTAGGGCCCTCGACGGCAGGCTGACAAGCTTCAGGTCGGGCAATAACAGGCCAAGAATTGTGAGCACCGTCATGATGGCGTTTGTGGGGACAAATATCATTTTTTCCCAGCCTGATATTATGCAAAAACAAACGGAGTGCATAGACGACCTGAAGAAGAGAACCGCTGCTTAGAGGAAGCGGATTCAGCGATATACCGACAGGTCGACAAAACCAGAATCGTCTTTTCCAGAGTGATCAGGAGAGGCTCTATCAATTATTGGAGCGACCAATGGGTCTTGGAACAGGCCAAGCATCGAATCAGAATTCAAAATGAATCCAGTTTCAATTTCTTAAAATTCATAAAAATAGCATTTTATCTGGAACACTTTTATATTTATATATAAAAAACGTTTACATAATATATACATATTTTACCAGATCTCTCACGAAAAAGTTTTTTCTCCAGAATTTATTTTCATATGTCTTTGCAAACAATCGAAAACCGACGCTGTCGTATTCTGGCGCGGCCCGTGGTCAAAGCCTGTAAAACACAGTGAAGGACCTTGGACGGCAATTTTAGCGAGCAAGTGTGCGAATATTACGCCCATGGACCACATCATCATAATACCGAATGACGTAGCTGAGGCGGTCCGTAGGGAACCGAACTGGAAATGGCCGGGGCTCGACGGGCTGCATCACTACTGTGGGTAAATGTACATGAGATAATGTTTGGTTGTAATGAAAGTAGCTGGAAATAAACAGTCGAATGCATGCTAATGTATCGTTTCAATTAATCTCCCCAAAAACACAAATATTACATGGCGCTGTCGGTAGGATACATCGCGGAAAGTGCATAAAGATATAGTGGACAGTCAATAATCTTTGGTTATAGTGGAGTACAGTGCATAGACAGTACAAAAAGAAAAACACGAGAAGAAAATGGAATCAGTTCTACAACCACCGCCGCCATTTATATTTGAAACAGATTTACCGAGTGTTACATCTGGAAATTTAAGTAGACAATGGTCAAAATGGAAAAAAGCCTTCATGATATATTACAAAGCATGTCAAATTCAAACAAAAGAGAAGGAGGTTCAAATAAACATACTTCTGCACATCATTGGCGAGCAGTGTCGGGATGTTTACGAACAATTTGCAATTGACAAAAGCATACAATCAGTGGAAACAGTTTTAGAAAAATTTGATAAATTTTTCATGCCCAAAAAGAACATTACAATAGAACGTCACAGATTTTTTACTCGCAATCAACAGGAACATGAAACCGTCGACCAATACACATTTGAATTAAACAAGCTGGCCCTTTCGTGTGAATTTAAAGATTTAAAAGATGATCTCATGTGGCATAAGGGAGGAAGCATTGAGGGAGAGATTATTGCGAGAACACGATCTTACATTGAAAAAAGCGTTAGACATTTGCAACGTCGCCGAGATGTCTCGAGCACAGGCAAGTTCAGTGAAGTTAGAACAGGAGAAAGAATCGCATATATATGCGGTGCAGGAGAAAGCTAACGATGGTGAGTCTGCCATGTATTGGATTCGGCAACAGGCGAGCGCATGTTCTGTATGCCGGTGCGCTGCGCGTCGAAGCGGCGCGCGCGATGAGACAAGGTCGCAGGCGAGAGCGCTGCAGCAACAGCGCACCCCCGCAGTGCCCGCGCCTCACCCTGCGCCTTCGCAGCAGAAAACACAAGCGAAACGTGAAAAGTGTGGCAACGGAAACATGTCATGTGGTTTTTGTGGTTTGTGGCATGACAAATTTGCGTGTCCTGCGTATGGTCAAAGGTGTGCCAAGTGTCAAAAATTAAATCATTTCGCAAGAGTGTGTCGTGTGTTTGAGGTGCAGGATTGTGCCACAGATCAGGTACGTAGTAGAAGTATTAAGAGCGCTAGTAATAGATGGTTTACAGATTTGCAAATAGGTAACGGTAAAATTCGTTTTAAATTGGACACTGGAGCTGACGTTAATGTCTTGCCGTTCCGTTTTTTACCACTAACGGGTGTTAAGGAAAGTGATCTTTTGCCAACGGATATGAAGTTAATAAGTTACTCGGGTGAAAATCTTAAAGTACTAGGCAAATGTATAATAAAGGTTACATGTAAAGATACATCATATATAGCTAAATTCATAGTGGTTGACGTTAATTCTCCGCCAATACTAGGTAAGAAATCGTCTGAAGAAATGAATCTCGTCAAACGGATCCTAGCCATAAACATGACCTCTGAGGATCACCAATCAAGCAAAATTTTAAATGAATATCCAGAAGTGTTTGAGGGTATGGGATGCCTGCCTGGCGTTTACAGGATTAGGCTGACCGACGATGTACAACCAGTTGTGCACGCGCCGCGTAAGCTACCTGTCGCGCTCAGGGAAGATGTGAAACGGAAATTAGATGAGATGCTCGAGGAAGGAGTAATCGCCAAGGTGGAAGGACCCACGGATTGGGTTAATAGTTTAACGGTAATAAAAAAAATAATGCCGACATGCTTAGCTTAATGCTTAGACCCACGGGATTTAAACAAATACATTAAACGGGAACATTTTAAATTGCCTACCTTGGACGAGATAACCTCAAAGCTAGCCGGTTCCAAATATTTTACGACACTAGACTGTAAACATTCATTTTGGCAAATTAAGTTGCATAGTGAATCTACGGATCTGTGTACGTTTAATACTGTTTTTGGGAGATACAAATTTTTGCGTATGCCCTTTGGCATATCCTCGGCCTCGGAAGTTTTTCATAAAAGGTTATATGCTCATTTTGATGATATAGAAGGCGTAGAGTTATTTGTAGACGATTTATTAATACACGGAAATTCAAAGACTCAACATGACTTTCGTCTACGTCAGGTTTTAGAGAGATGTAAACAAATTAACGTTAAATTAAATAAGAAAAAATGCAAAGTAGGACTAACGGAAATTAATTATTTAGGTCATATAATAACGCAGAACGGAATCAAACCTGACAACGCGCATGTTCAGCCCATATTGATATTGCATATATGCCGAAACCACAAAACACAAAAGATTTAGAAAGGTTTTTGGGATTAGTAACGTATATAGGTAGCTATATCTCTAATTTGTCGGATATAACACATAAGTTGCGCGAATTATTAAAAAAAATATAGCATGGCATTGGGAAGAAATTCATGATAAATGTTTTGAGGATCTAAAACGCTGCATTACTGAATGCAGCGTTTTAGATCCTCATGCAAAGAATGCTCCACTCCATTGCAAAGAATGTTAATAAGATTACAACCCTATACGTTTAAGTTAGTATATAAGCCAGGAAAATACCTGTACATAGCGGACGCCCTGTCCCGTGCTGTGGCGCCGAGCAGTGACAAGTGGGGTGATACGCGCGACGAGCTGGATGCCCGGGCGCAAGTGTGCGCGCTTGCACTTGCTAATCCCCTCACAGATACCCATTTCGTGCGTTTGCAAAAGCTTACTCAATCAGATCATGAAATGCAGGAACTAATTAATTTAATAAGAAATGGGTGGCCGAACAGCAAAAAGGATGTAATTGACATATTAAAGCCATACTGGGATAGCAGAGAAGAGCTGACGGTTGCGTACAAATTAGTGTGGAAAGGACAAAAAATAGTAATACCTAAATGTATGAGGCGCGAAATGTTAAAAACTATACATGTAGGACATTTAGGAGCGGCGAAAATGAAATTGAGAGCCAGAGAAATAATGTATTGGCCGAATTTAAATTCACAAATAGAGGATATGATATCGCATTGTCAAGCATGCCTCGCCCATCGTAACGAAAATAGTAAACAGCCACTGATCCCACATGAAGTTCCACACAGGGCGTGGTCTAAAGTAGGGATTGACATATTTCATTTCAATAATAAGTCATATTTGTTAGTCGTTGATTATTTTAGTAAGCTTATAGAAGTTGAAAAGTTGTATAACCTAACATCCGAATGCGTTATAAATAAATTAAAAATAATTTTCAGTAGACAAGGTATCCCGGACATGGTCATGTCAGATAATGGCCCTGAATTTACCAGCAGAATATTTAAAGAGTTTTGTATCAATTGGAGGTTTGAACATAAAACGTCATCCCCGCGGTATCCGCAATCAAATGGACAAGCGGAAAGAGCAATACAAACGGTAAAACAAATGCTCAAGAAAACGCAGTATGATAAATCCGACTTTAGGTTCGCGATGCTAGAATTTTTAAATACCCCAATAAGTGAAAGTTTGCCTTCCCCGGCTGAGCTTTTAAATAACAGAAAACTTCGAAGCATAGTTCCGTGTCCTCCGGAAATGCTCCAACCGAAATTATTTAATACAAAACAAGCGCGCGAAATACTAAAGTCCCGTCAAACCGTGCAAAAGAGGTATTACGATAGGGGCAGTAAGTTTCTAAAACCCTTAAGCATAGGTGATAAAATTAAAGTACGTATTAATGGTAAATGGGTCGATGGTATAGTAATAGACATTTTAGGAGAAAGATCATACGTATTAAAGTTGCAGTCGGGGAGAATCATACGCCGAAATCGAAGGCATATTATCCGCGACAGCTATTTACGACCGGAAAATAAAACCGTTACACAAGCATATGATTTTGATGACGTATTAGCAACAACACCCAACGAGCCGACATCACCGCGCTCGCATACTGTTCCCGCCAGCTCTAGTGCCCCGCCCCATTCATTCAATATATCCACCACAGCAACCACAGCTCCATATACTGCTACTACTACTTCTAATGCTTACGTTACTCAATCCGGCAGGGTAGTGAAAGTTCCTGATCGGTGGGGATATTCCTGAACAAGTCGCTAAGTGCGACAAGAAACACGAAAAAAAAAACAGGAAGTAAGAAGTACTTTACTCAATTATATAAAATTCCATTGCATGTATTAAATGTAGGTAAGAAAGGGTTGTATCAAATAAAATTGAAATACTATTTAATTTATTCAATGAAATTAAAACAACTCCATAATCTTAAGTGAGGTTAATCTTAACTTGTGAAACAAAAAAAAAAAGATAGGATTTTATCCATTCGCTCATAAATTATGATTATTGCAATTAATGTCTCCTAGTCAAATTAATTAATGTTTCTTTTTTTTTCATTTATAAATCTAAATATTTATTAAAGAGATTGTATCTATTATTACATCAATTATAAAAAGTTTACTTTTTATTGTTTCCGTAAATAAACTAAATTCATAAAACATAAATGAAAATATTGAACAGCGAATATTATCTGTAACGATAACATTGCCGGTTTTATTACATAAATGATGTACTATGTATTGTGCTCATTTGCTAACTGATTTATTTAAGGAGGGGGATGTGGGTAAATGTACAAGAGATAATGTTTGGTTGTAATGAAGGTAGCTGGAAATAAACAGTCGAATGCATGCTATTGTATCGTTTCAATTAATCTCCCCAAAAACACAAATATTACAACTACTGGCTGAAGAGGTTCGTGGTGTTTCACGGTGTACTCGCCCGACAGTTCTAGCCTCTTTACTCATGGGATCACTTACTTCGTTCTTAAAGACCAGGATACCACAGACCCTAGCAAATACCGCCCTATCACGTGTCTACCCACCATATACAAGACACAAACATCTATTTTGAGCGCGAGAATCACTCTCCACCTGAACTTAATCATATCAGATGATATCGCGTGCCCAAAATGAATGTCGAGGCATTGGTCGTGGAACCAAGTAACCACTCCTCATTGACGCGGTCATTGGCAAGGTGGTTAAACGCAACCGTCGGAAGTTCTCCGCTGTTTGGAAAGACTACAAAAAGGCATTCGGTGCCTGAAGACGGTCGTCAAGCTGTAAAAGCTTGAGTGTACATTTGAGATTTCCTCGGGAAGTGTATCGGGAAGTGCAGACGGTCCTATGTCATCTAGGCGAGCGGATAACAGCTGCAGAGAACCACATAAGGATAAAAAGGGGTATCTTTGAGGGCGATTTTTTGAGTCCAATCTGATTCTGTCTTTCCCTGCAGGGATTTCAGTTTCGGAAAGGAGGTATAAAAGTGACTCACCTTTTTTATATGAACGATCTCAAGTTGTTCCCATCCAGTCGCTCTCATTTTATGGAACATCACTCGTGATTTTGTTAGAATTCGCAATTCTATTAGAATAGAGCTGGGGACAGATTAGTGTGCGGTCTTCGATCTCGAAAGGGATAGGTCTGTTAACTCTGAGGACATAGATCTATCGATACCCATCAACATAAGGAACTTTTTCGAGGCTGAAACATACCTATACAGTTTTTTAAGCGCTCTCATCATGCATAATCGCGAAGTGGCAGCTTTCTTATTAATTACTTCCTGGCAAGATGATCCATTCTACTCGTACAGGGACGTCATTTTGTGTGATAAACGGCTTACTCCTCTATCCTTAGCCAACGAGCAATGGCAAGACCCAGCGGTACAACGTATTTCCGACCAGGAGACCGTATGCACGTATGTGTGTGTGCGTGCGTACGTGCCAGCGTGCGTGAGTGCAAGCTTGCATGCGTGCGTGCGACTGTGTGTGCGATCGTGCGTGCGTGCGTGCACGATCATTATTTTAAGCACATTGGTTGTAGGGCCTGTTTTCACCTTGTTGTACGTACTTTCACCCGATAAATGATTTATCGGCTCAAAAACGTTAAATAGCCTTAATATAATTGCCTCGTTGAGGTATGAAGCATTACCACATTTTTGAGGGAGACCTACATATGTTGGGTCACCTAGCGGTGGGATTTGGATAGGTAAAAGAAAATGCGATAAAATCCGTAAAAACTTATTTCATTTAATCTGTTGAGTTAACGTAAATACGAAATCATAATAAGAGATTAATATTCTTGTAGTTAGTTAAGATGTTATGGATCCTTTAAGTTAAATAAATTTATTAATTTTCTTTTAATCGAAATGTCTAAAAATCAGTCGCTTCTAATCTTTTATTGAAATAGTTTGGCAACAATGTTTCGAACTCGAAGGTACTACCAATTTACATTATATAGAAAATTAAATTAGATAAAAGCAAAAGCTCTTTCTTAAACAAAACTAAAAAATATATGATCGTTTTTTATTATTTCTGAACTGCCTTAACCGAAATAGACATTGGGGAGATGAAAGAAACTTTTAAAAAACTTGAGCAAAGTAGTTGGCAGTAATTCTAAATTATAAGAAAAAATATTGTTCCACAGTTTTATGTTTTCTTGTTAAAACATTTAAATATCTACAAATTAGTTTTTATTTAAATGATTAAATGATTTAAACTCAAACAAAGGTTGTAAAGATATCGAAAAAATAAGTAGACCATTTTATTGCAAGTCGTTACACGGTCCGTAAGCCGCACCATAGACATTTTAATCGAAGGTACAGTCGTTATAGGAGAATGTTTTATACAAAAACATATTTTTTTACTATCACATGTTTGAAAATAATATATAAGTTGATGTAAAATGAAGAAAAGTCTCTGGTTGTAGTGTTTTGATTTTTTGTGGTTAATTTTTATTTGATGATATGAATTTAGGATTTCAATAGCTTATATACAGGATTTAAGATATTAAAGATATACCACTTTAACAGTGGTAGAGCCACGCGGCAGCTTTTGCTTTCGCACGGATGGGCCGGCTCGAACCGGGGTGGTACCACGACCTCACAGAAAACCAGCGTGAAGTAGAGGTTTGCCTCTGCGTTTCGCTTGGTGAGTGTAGGTGGCCGGAGACCCTTTTTACTGGAAATGAGGCATTCTATCTTAGTCCTCATGGGTGACAACGCATCTACATTATGATTTGTAATAGAGGTTATATGTAGATGTCTATAATGGGTCGCACCAACTACTTACCATCAGGTGGACTGTGTGCTCGTTTGTCATCCTTATCCTATAAAAAAAAAGAATTATATAATGTTAAATATTTATAAAAAAAAATTTTTACAATGAAAATGTAATGTTTAATTAAAACTATATAAATAAAGTAGTAATATTACATTTAGGACATAAATAAAAAGTAAAAAACACTTTCCCGCCATTTTCCAATTGATTTTCTGTCCGCCAAAATGAGTGAATCTAACGAAGATATTCGATATTCTGAAGTTTTATTACAATAATTTAAAATTAAAAAACTTGTACAACCGACTTCAATATAAATTATTAAGAACAACTCAAAAACTATTGCTTAGATCTTAATCAAATAAAAAAAGAATCATCGAAATCGGTGAAAAAAAAGTGATGAGGTGACACACATAAAAAATTGATCACCTCTTCTTTTTTGAAGTCGGTAGAACAAAAGGGAAAAATGCGACTCAAACCGCGAAAAAAAATTTAACGTTTATAGGCCTAATACAGTGTTAGTAAAAGTAGCACAAAGTTGGTTCAAGCATTTTCAGTACTGGAATTTTGATATCAAAGATGCAGTTCTTTCTCGTCGCCCTCATACGGATAAAGTCGCAATGTCATTTTTAAAAAAGTAGAGACAGATCGGCATTTTAGTAGTTACGCCATAGACAAGGAATTGAGTATTGATGAGAAAACAGTTTTGACCCACTTAAAAAGGTCTGGCCATACAAAAAGCTCGATATTTGGGTACCAGGCGAGTTCACTGAAAGAAACCTAAGGAATCGTGTAGTCATTTGCGATTATCTATCAAAACGTAATGAAACAGAACGATTTTTGAAAAGATTGATCACTGGTGATGAAAAGGGGATCACATATGACAAGAACGTGTGAAAAAGATCATGGTCGAAGGGTTGTCAAAGTCCACAGACTGTAGCAAAACTCGGATTAACACGCAATTACGTGATGGTGTTTGTATGGTAGCATGGTTTATTATGAGCTTTTACCACCGGGCAAAACCAAAGATTTGGATTACTACTGCTAACAACTAATGAGACTCAAGCAAGAAATTGAGAAAAAACGCCCGAAATTGATCAACAGAAAAAGAGTGGTCTTTCATAAAAATAACACCAGAGACACATATTTGGCCACTCAGCAAAAATTAAGGGAGCTTGGTTGGGAAGTGCTAATGCATCCAACATATAGTCCTGACCTTGCATCCTCAGATTTTTTTTGTTCACTTGTTTGGTTACTTCAGAATTCTTTGGGTAGTGTTAAGTTAACATCAAGAGAGGACTGTCAAAACTACTAGTCGCATTTTTTTGATCAATAATTCCAAGATTTCTACAGCAACGGGATTATGTCAATACCTACAAGATGGAAACAAGTTATCGATTGAAATGGCACATATATGTTATAATTAACTGTAATTAAACGTTGAAAAAAATACCTTGAATTTGTATATAAAATACGAAGAAACTTTTTCCCGAGCCTATATAGTTCTTGGTATAAAAGCCGATCAAAATAATTTCGACACAACAGCTTCTAAATTCGGTGCTAAGACATAGTTTAATGAAGAATTTAAGCTCCTGACTTCATAAACTATTAAGTGAAATGTTTAAAGTTCTTATTTTATGAAATCGGCACGTACTTTTTATTAACAGTTGGTTTTTTGACCCTTTTAAATTGACTAAGGAATATCACAAGCTTAAAGTATAATATACTAAAATATCGTATAAATAGTTATTATAAAAACTTCATTTCCTATTTTTCTACCCTTGGGGGTGAAATTATTTTTCTAAATATATAAGGCACTATCCCTATAATTTAGTAGTACCTACTTGCTTCTTGTTAGCCGTATCTTCCATCGGTTAGTTTTTAATTGGCTTAAAATTACATTTTCATTAATATTGTATAATAATCTTAGCGTCACAGTATTACAAAATATAAATAAAAGGCATCGGAATGTAACTTAAAATTT